ATGAAAACTTTTTATCTGTGAACTCCTCATCTTGTGTTCATTATTTTTCCCAACAGATGAAATATGGAGAACATGACATTAAGTGAAGTGACTCAAACCCAGAAAGAGAAAAACACATGTTCTTTTCTCATATGCAGATCCAAGAACTTGTGAGGAATTAAATCTGTTGACCTGGAGAAGCTAGCACGGTTTCAGATTGATTAAAAAGCATATTTACAGTTAACAGTAGGACATACATACATCAGCGTCACCAATATGGTTCCTGCCATATTTGTGCTCTGTGCATGTGCTTACACAGTGGACAGCTACGTATAACAGAGCATGTAGGAGCACAGCACAGACTCAGGGATACTGATGGGGAATGCTCATGTGATACCAATAATAATACCAAAAGCAAACTCCAGCAGGGTGGTTTGTTGTGAATTCCGTCAGGCTTTGAGAAATTCAGCCTGATGTTGTGCAGTCCTTCTGGAAGTGAAGGATTCAGGACTATGTTTGAGTTTATTCTTTTTTTTTTTTTTTTTAAGTAATCTGGATTTTATTTGAAGGGTGATGAAGATCCTAAGGCAGGGATACTGTCTGAGGGTTACTATTGCTCTTTTGAAACACCATGACCAAAGCGAGTTTATTCTTTAAGGCCACTGCATGAAACCTGACCCCCACATCAGAAGAAAAGACAAACCCCATAGCTATAGATGGTAGTCACTTATGACTGTCCATGTAAAATATAAGTCAAGTGTAGTAGTGTGAAAGCAGAGGATTATCTCTCTAAGTAGATTTGCCTCATTACTAGAAGGGCTGATTAAAATGAGAGTCCTGCACCTCACCACAGTAAATGATCACGTGATCATTTGATGGACATTGACAATGACAAGTAGAAATCAGGACAAATGAGAAATAAAAGAAAATGTCCATTAAGTTGATAAAACTCATTTTTTTAAAAAAAAACAGCCAAATGAATTATTGTATGTAAAATATCTCTTTCTTTTCTGCTAAATGGAATGTGCTGCTTTTCCAGACACTGCTCTTGTTCCCTGTAGTGCTGAGGGTCTCTCAGCGAGGCAAGGGTAGGAGGAAAAACAAAGGAACAAACTAGAATGGACCAGATGAGGAAGAATGGCTTAACTGCAAGGCCACGACTGAGGGAAATTATTGACAGATTTGCTGAAAAGTTACCGGAATTAATAAATACTTTGGTTGCATGACACAAAGGATACAAATCACATATTTCTGTGTATCAGCAATTAATATCTTAGAACTTCTAATAAATCACATTAGCATCAAAACTAAATATGTAGAAAAGAGTCATTATGTTTTTTTATTTGTGTGTATGGGTGTTTTTTATACAGGTTTATCTATACATCACATGAGTACCTGGTGCCCAATGAGGTCAGCTGCAGATACTGGAACTAGAGTTATAGATGGTTGTGAACTACCATGTAGGTGCTGGGAATTGAATCTGAGATTCCAGAAAAAAACAGCCAGACATTTAACTCTTTTAACTGCTGACTTGTCTTTCCAGTCCTAAACTTTATTTTCTTTTTTATATTTTTAATTATTTCATTGAATTTATTTAATGTATATGGTCTAGCTACATAAGGACATTTTCATAGAAATGTAGGTCATACATGGAGCATATTCTTTTTTTTAAACTAATTTATTTAATTTTTATTTTATGTGCATTAGCGTGAGGGTGTCAGATGCCTTGGAACTAGCATTACAGACAGTTGTGAGCTGCCATGTGGGTGCTGGGAATTGAACCTGGATCCTTTGGAAGAGCAGACAGTGCTCTTAACCACTGGGCCATCTCTCCAGCCCAAGCATATTCTTTTTAACATGACATAAAATTTACTATTTAAGTTAAAATTGTAGTTATTTTAGTAATATGTTCAGTTTATGAAGTCCCTTTGGAACATTTCTATCCCTCTAGTCAGCTCCTTTATACTGTTTTTCTTATCTCTTTCATAGCCTCAGCTCCAGACATCCTTGGTTTACTATTATGTCTGTAGCTTTCACTCTTCTGGATGTTTCATACATACACATATAGCCACACCCACTGTGTTATCTTTTATATCACATGCTTGCATGTATCACTTTTTTTTTCCTGAGTAATATTCCATCGTATGAGTATATCATTTTTGGCTTATTTGTTTAATAGTATTGGTTACTGGGCTGTGCCTGACGTTAGGTGTCATTGGCTAATTCTACCGTGAACATTTTTGCTCATCATTGTGTGGACTTGTTTATAGATAACAGGGACTTTGAAACTACTACATTAAACAATTTGTGTTTAACATTTGAAGAAGCTTTCCAGCTGTTACAACACACGGGGATTCATGCTTGTAAGCCCAGCATATGGGTGAGTAAGTTAGGAAGATCACAAGTTCAAGGATGGTCCACACTTCTTAGAGAATCTGAGGTGTTCGTGTTACAATAGGGGTCATACTTTAGAGAGGGGTAGAGAAGACAGAAAGGAGCCCATTTGTTTTTGAAGTGGGAGTGCTGTTTAAAAATCTCACTGGGAATGTGTGAAGCTTCTTGGGGATAAGTTTGGTAAAACTGCACATGTCTTCTGTACTGACAATCAGTAACATTATATAGAGTTTAATGACAGCTATTAAATGGAGGTAACTCATGGTTACTCATGGTTTTGGATTTTAAGAGAAAATGTTATATGTCAACCCCTAGCCCCACCGTTCTTCTCTCTGTAAAATCATTACTATAGGCTGCTTTGTGGTTTTCCCTATACAGCAGATACAAGGATTGCCAGTAAAAACATTTTCAAGATTGACAAGTGAGCCAATGGAACACTGGGGAGCAGCTGTAAAATGGTGACGGAGCGTTTTCTGGTGCTGTACCTCAATGGCAAGAGCGCGCCTCACCACACACTGCAGGTGGCTTGACTATCAGACATAAGCAGAAGTTTAAACAAATAGGCTTGATACACATTCAGCCTTGATCTCCATTATACCATGGAGCACACATGCCAGCTCTCCCTCAACTTCAAGATCACCCCTCCAAAAAAAAGTTAATGGTTTTTGAACTGGAACACATACTCCATTCTTTCGAACCCCATTCTTAGCAATCTGTCAGCTTCCTGTTCTTCCAGAACGACTCTTTAACCCTTTGCCATGCTCGGCTCCCCGGAGACCCGTGTGCCAGTTTCCCACCTTGCGTCTTTCTGTTGCTTCTATCTGGAAAGTGCTGTTGTAGGGTTTGCATGCTGTGTGCAGAAAGGTTGGGTGTGGGTACAAGCTCCTCCACTGGCTGTGTGAGCATGAGCTGCTGTGCAACGTTCTTCTGAAACCTTATATTTAACTGCTGAATGCCAGAACAGTGCTTCCCCTCCTGGTTGTGCAACGCCGTTAGGTGCGGCCAATATAAGACATTGTCCACTGTTGTTATTGTTATTAGGCTTGCATCATGACCATAAGTGCTTTGCTCTCAGGCAGTACTGGATGTTGGCTGAATAGATCATGTGATCTCCAAATGTTTCCAGGGAGTGTAGCGCTTTAATACTGTCAACAGCGTCTCTGAGTAGCTGCTCTGTTTCACTTAGGCTTTGCCACACTCTCAAGAAAGATGCATTTTTCCAAACAGTGTTCCTAATGAGAAAGAAATAACTTTGCCTAAGTTTGTACAAAGGAAACTGAAGCCTAGCTTCTTGTTTGTTTACCTCTAAAGCCTGCTTCATGGTAACTGTTCCCTTGATCTCATCTTCTGAAATAAGTGCAGTAAGATGGAAGGATTATTTAAGATGAAGACCTGGTTGTGTCAGAGCATCCATATGGCATTGTCTAGCATCACAGTGGTGCTGCCTGTGTGTGTTCAGTGGAACTAACAGGGATCACTGCTAGGCTTATATGCAAGGCTCTCCTGTTATGACCTGGGTGGTGGGTGGGGTGTGGTAGAGGTGGATTCCTTACCAACAAAGGATTGTTATCCTTTTGCATGATTTTTTTCTAGGAATCTGGTTAAAATTAATTTTTCCAATTAAGTGGCACCATCTGTATCCTCTATCTTCTGTTCTAGTAGAAAGTGTAGCTGTGTTCCCTGGGTCAGGACCAAGCAAGTACCCTTTTCTCAGATCCTTTCAGCTCTATGTTACAATAAATCAACCAAATAAGGTATTTGTTTGTTTGTTTGAGGCAGAGTTGAAGCAGTTCCCAGCTACTTCGAGGACAGTGTGGGAACTTGGAGTCTAGCCTTCGGTGCTCTTGTCCATCCCTCTTCACAGGAGGTCAACTTTCTTTCAGGATACTTCCTGGAAGTTTCCTTTCTTGAGCTATCCCATCTCAGTGACTACTTCCTCTGCAAAAGGAGCTAAGAAGCAGAGGAGAGGGTTGATGCATTATCACTGTCTGGAGTCCGCTTATTAAGAAGAGGAAGTACAGTGGCAGAGATGACTCTGGTTAAAGAACACGAAGACACAGATTCTGTTTGTAACAACCACATGGCAGCTTACAACCATCTGTAACTCCAGTTCCAGTGCCCTCTTTTAGCCTCTGAAGGTACCAGACATGTGGTACACGCACACACACACACGCACACACACACACACATACGTGAGCAGAATCCTCATACTAATATAATAAAAATAAACCTTTCAGTAAGAAGAAATGCATGTTAGCAGGGAGCCTATCCTGTTGGTTTTCTCCCTTGTCATATAAAAGAATTTTTTTATTATTATTTTGTTTTGCTAAGATAGAGTGTACTTACAGCAAAGAAATTTATACCTATCTGAAAGAAACAACTGAGTAGTGCCTGGTCTCATGGGTATGTGACCCAAAGGGAGCTGTTTCCTGCACCTTGGGAGTGTCTATGACTTTTTCTGTTAGATTTGATCATGAGATTTTTAATTCCAGTAGCCTCCTTTGTCACCTGAAGTGGCATGCCTTCGTTTAAAGCACTCAGACATATCACAGATGAGACTGTTGTGATTGATGGTTAAATTGGATGGTAGTGAAAAGCAAGTCAGAGTAACTGGGCTTTTTTCCCAGCTTGTGGCAGCCTTTCCGAGGGTCCTTGGATAGATCACATTGTGTCTCTGAAGCTGCTTCCTCATCCCACGTCAAACTGTAAGTCTTCAGTTAGCATGCTTTTACCTCTTTGGCTTTTTTTCTTTTTCTTACCTGCCAATGCATACCTTTCTTCTTCCTAGAAACCAGGCCTCCCTGCCCCATGATTTACACGAATCTGAGCTCCCAGGTTCTATAGCACCACACTGGGCATAACCACTTGTCTGATTTGCATGAGGAACTGACTAGACACATTCCATTGCAAAGACCAAACTCTGTTGGCTGCTTTATTCCCAAGGTTGGCACATAGTAGGTACTATGCATCGGCTCAATGAGCTTGGAAGGAGGACAATGCTGAAATGCCACAGAAGTCATCTCACACAGCATAACGTGGGAGCTGCATATATCTGAAGTGGTAGATGGGTGTTGCTTTCAAACTGGATTTATAAAATGGAATCGCCGCATTACTGGGGAAGATGATGTGTGTGGAAGACCAGCACAGTGCATCATCTATAACAAGCTGCTTCCATAACTACTGTCCTAAACTGTTTGCATGCTGTATTCCACATATATTTGTTGTGTTCCTGTTATTGTCATAAAACACCCTGACAAAAGCCACTTTTGGGTTAATTTGGCTCCTAGTTTCTGGGGAAAGCATCATGGCAGTTGATCACATAGCATCCACAGTCGGAAGCAGAGAACAATAGATGTTCGTGCTCAGTTTGCCTTCTTTTTATTCATTAGTGACCCTAGCCCATGGATGTCACTGCTCATTCTTTCTACCTCATCTAACCTAGTTTAGAAGGTGCCAGCAGGGTTGCCTCTGGGGTGGTTCTAGAAATCATATGAGACAGCTGTGGTTTCAGTGGATCCTCCATTAAGATAGGAAGAGCCAAAAAAAAAAAAAAAAAAAAGATAGGAAGAGCCTTGGCCACAGGGGTCTTCAGTGTTCTCTGAGGCATATGTCTCACAGTGTGCAAGCTGGTACTTTGGCATCTGTGGTGAACAGAGGAGAGGAAAGGGATGCGGGGCCTCTCTGGGGAGATGAACTTTTAAACAGTAAAAACCTTCTGGCAGATGTATTGGATTGTGTTGCTGTGACAAGTGATCCAAAGTTAATATCCAAGAATCTTTGAAAATAATTATTTCTATTAACCGATTTAAGGTAGTGTAGTCTGAATGCCACTAGGTAGGTCACATGACCCTCCAAGATCAATTTCTTCTCTCTGATTTGACAGAGTACTAGCCAGCATGTTCATATCATTTATAGTAGAGGTGACGCTTAAAATACTTCACAGTAGGAAATATTCCAATTGTAGGAGGCAATTGCTGTCTTTGATTGGCATTTAAAACATTTTTATTAGACAAAGTGATTATTACATCTGAAATGAGGCTTTACAAACTTAATTATAACAATAGGGTTAGGAACAACAGCCAGCATTTATTTTGTACTAAATGGCAGGCTAGTGAAAGGGCTTTGCATGTGTGAGCTCTGATTATCCCACGTTTGTCATCAGCCTGTCATCTAAACCACAGCTGCCTTGTTGACTTAAGAAGCACTGCAAGCCACTTTTCTTCATTTTATGCATCCTTCCTTTCTGTGTTTGATTGAGCTTTTTTTTTTTTTTTTTTTTTTTATGTCTGAAATACTTCTAGAAGCTGAATCTCCAAAGGATGAGCTGCCTACTCAGAATAGTGCTGTTTCCAACAGGGAGATCAGGATCCAGGATCCGTTCCGTTCACAACTGAACCTTTAAGCCAGACCCTGGCATCTTAGTCTTTAGCAGTGCTGGGACTCCATAATTGTCACCTTTTTTTTAATTAGTACTTGATGCCTAATAATATGATATTCATACCTGATCTTCCACAAGCCCTGGGAAACAGGTAGCTGTGATCTGGACAGGCATTAGTCTAAGGTACAAGGAAACAGTAGTGACCAACATAGACTTTGAGGATCGCAGTAGCCTCTGGGGGCACATGCTCTAACCATGGAACATTACCTTCCATTTTTCAGGCCAATGACAGCTCTATCCAAGTAAACCTACTCTCATGGCAACACTGAGGGACAATTTATAGAAAATCTAAATGACATTGGGAAAGGCTAATGGTATCCCTGGAGTCTGGCTGCTATGATAGAGTAATCATGGGCAGAAACAGCTTTTGGGGTCCGTGCGCCCATGTAAAAGTGATAGGATTCATGTTATGTGGCATTAGACCAACACCAGCACATGGAGTGGTTTGGGGAGCTCATGGGCTAAAACGTGGGGTAGGAAAGCTTCCATAGAAGGACATCCTGTTTTCCAGAGTTAGGACCTCAGGCTAGGTTCTTGGGCATTGTGGGTATCAGCAATTGTATTCTGGGGAAGTATCTGTAAGGTCAGATGTTATGAATTTTGTAAATATAAGGCCTTGGGCATAGATAAATTGAGTAAGCTTTTCATTGACAGGGATCTTTGTTCTCACCCTGGCTTCACAGTTTACCAGTTTCATTACTTGAAGGATATTTCTTAGTCTATATAACGTGAATGTTTTCTATTTTGTGAAATGGGGATTGAAACTGAAAGAATTCTGAAGTACAGTGTGTGTGTGTGTGTGTGTGTGTGTGTGTGTGTGTGTGTGTAGGTGAGTGCTGGTGCTTGAGTAAGCCAAAAGAAGTTGAGATTCCCGAGAACTGAAGGCACAGGCAGTTGTAAGCCGCCTAGCATGGGTTCTGGTGACTGAGCCTGTGTGTTGTGCCAGTGTAGCAAGTACTGTTAACCACTGAACCGCTGCCCCAGCCCTGTTCAGTTCCTAAAGTATTTAGAAAACCTGATTATGAATGGACAAATAAAGCAGGTTACATTGTTTTTCTGGAGTAATGACGTGACTTTTAACAAGTAAATGGACTTTTTTCATAGAAAGTCATAGAATATAAACTGACACCAATGCCATGTTAAAATTCAGGTTTTAATACTGCTCAATTTTATAAAATAAAATTACTATTAAATATTTCAATATCAGTTTTATATATTTAAAAGAATTTATTTCTTATAAATACGTATGACTTCTCTGAAAGACTCTACCTAGCAGTAGAGTCTTAACTTAACCAAACCTTTGGCGGAGTTCAGGGAATCATATGAAAGAAGGGGGAGTTAGTATGACCTGGAGAGGACAGGAGCTCCACAAGGACTAGATACATCTGGGCACAGGGGTCTTTTCTGAGACTGTTTCTCCAACCAAGGGCCATGTATGGATATAGCCTATAACCTCTGTTCGGATATAGCCCATGGTAGCTTAGTATCCAAGTGAGTTCTCTAGTAAGGAGAACAAGGACTATTTTTGACATGAACTCAATGGCTAGCTCTTTGACACCCCCCATCCCTGGAGGGCAGAACAGGCCTGCTAGGTGACAGAGGAGGACTTTGTAGCCAGTCTTGAAGATACCTGATAAACCAGATTAGGTCAGATGAAAGGGGAGGAGGACCTCCCCTATCCGTGGACTTGGAATTGGAAAGGGGCAGGGAGGGGATGAGGGAGGGAGGGTAGGATTGGGAGGGAATAAGGGAGCGAGATACAGCAGGGATACAAGGTTAACAAACTGTAACTAATATTTAAAAAAATAAAAAAAAAATATGTGTGTGTCTGTGTGAATCTGTACACATGAGTGCAGGTACCCGTAGAGACCAGAGGAAGGCATTTGACTCCCTGGAGTTGGAGTCCCAGGCAGTTGTAAGCTGTCCAATGTGGGAACCTCATTCATGTCTTCTTCACTTCCAGCATGTACTCTTAACCACTGAGAGCACACACACACACACACACACACACACACACGTGTGTATATGTGTGTGTGTTGTAATTACTATTTTTTATTGAGAGAGGTTTTTTCTCCTCTGTCATTTTAAATTATATTGTCTGAGAAAAAGAAAACAGGTTAAATATCTTGATGATTTTTAAGTTCCTTATTTCTGAGGTTTTGGAGTGTAATTCAGTGGTAGGCTGCTTACCTAACATGTCCAAGATACCTACTGTTTGTTTTGTTTTTCAAGACACAGTTTCTCTGTGTAGCCGTGGCTGTCCTGGACTCACTTTGTAGAGGGGCTGGCCTTGAACTCCGAGCAGTGCACCTGTCTCTGCCCCACTGAGTGCTGGGGTTAAGAGTGTGCACCACCACACCATGCTGATTCCTACTTCTTATTTATCGCTTTCACCAAGTTTTATTTTGTAGCTTAAGAACAATGTGATAAAATCATTTGACAGTTTCCTTTGTCATCCCTCCCTTCAGCGCCACTATGGATGTCCTGAGTAATGTGATATCTCTTGGCCAGGTTAGCGGTCAGTTTTGAGAGGTCTGGAATTCAGGAAACTAGACCTTCAGTTTTCAATACCTGATAGTGTTACTGAACCTCTCTCTTAAGAGTCAGGGAGATTTCCTGATTAAACTATAAATTTGTCCTGGCCTTTTAAAATGAATATTATTTAACTTTCTGGCATACCATGGAGGTGCCGTGGATTCAGTTTTAGACTGCTGAAATTAAGAGAACTTTCAGGAAAGCAATCCACAAGGATCTTTTCCCCATGCTCTAGTCTGGTCTCTTATGTGTGCAGAAGTATTATGACTGTTAAAAAAAAAAAAAAAAAAAAAAAAAACGGGCAGGCAGGTCTCCATTGCTAGAAATGCTAATACTGATGTGAGCAGTCAGTGAGTTTTAAGGTTTTTGTTCTTTTGGAGAGTATGGTTTTAGTAAAGCATGTACAACTTTACCCACATGGTTTGGTGCAAATTTCAGCAGAGTGAAAAAGGCAAATAGCATGTCAGGTTTTTATTACTGTGATGTTATTACTTCATGGATCCTTGAGGTCCTCAGGACACACTTTGAAAGATGTAGTTCTGGACCATTTCAAGATATAACAGCAATCTGTAGGAGAAAGATGCATCATCCCTGGACCAAGCAGCACCAGGGTGGGGCAAGTTGTCTAAATTGTGTTTTACGTGTGTGTGTCTCATGAAATAAATTGCCCTATCACATACGCTATTGGTAGGCCAAACTGTCGGCTCTACTTGCCTGTCACAGGGAGCAGAA